CAAAAATCTAATCGATTTCTGCGGTAGCTTTTTTTCAACTAAAAAGATAACACTTTTGGAAGAAAATTTAATAGAGTTCTGCGGTAGTACATCAACAAAAATTTTTTTTACTTTTCAGATAACCCAAAATCTAATCGGCTTCTGCTGTCAGTTTTAAACTAAACATTCAACTCTTTATCCTGGTCCTCCACATTCTCAGCCCAACGCCCAAATAGGCTGTTCTCCTGGAAAGGAGAGGGATCAATGCTTTCCTGGTATAGTCTAACAGGCGTAGGCCCGTGCACGCATCCTCAGTCTCCCTACTCCAAACCTTCCTAGACGGGTGCTAGGTTGGGGGGAGCTGTTGTAATTTTTCAAAACCTAACCTAAGCATCTACAGACCCATATAGTAACAGCAAATTGATACATAAATATGATTTAAATAACAAAGCATCTACAAGCTCATACAGTGACAGCAAATTGAGACATAAATATGATTTAAATAACAAAGCATCTATAAGCTCAAATAAAGCATCTATAAGGTTATACAATGACAGTAAATGGATACAATAATATGATTTAAATAAAGCATCTACAAGCTCAAATAAAGCATCTACAAGGTTATACAGTGACAGCAAAGGTATACATAAATATGATGGAGAAACATATCATGATACTAAGAGACATTTTATGATTCATGATGAAAGATTCATCTAAAGGTCAAGAAGCACGAATGGATGACAATCGTGGGGCCAGGCCTGAACAGAGCTAGGAAGTGGCCAGAAAGTATAGAAGGACAGTGCACAACCGAAATCGGACTCTGTTTCGATTTTTGGATTCTTTGATCCCTAACCTAACCCTAAAAAAGCACAAATGTCAGGACATGTCAAAACTTCTCCAGGGCCCAAAACACCCTCAGACCCCAGAGGGTTAAGTATGTATTTTTTTGCCACTTTTGGATATTTTTTGAAGTAAATATAGTGAATTCATAGAATTAATATTTGGAAATCATAATTATCAGAGGCAAGTACTTCTTAAATGACAAATGCCGGTGTACTAACATTACTAAAATTGTAAGAGATTATTTGTTTGTTTGTTGTTGTTGTTTTACAATTACTAGATGGATGTCAACCGTTTCTACTGTACAAGAATGCGTACTCTTCAGGCCCTTGTATCAGAAAACCCCCAAGACTCTGACGCTGATCTCGGGGATGTTGATGACCCAATAGAGCAGTGGTTCTCAAACCTGTCCTGGAGTACCTCCAGCCCTGCACATTTTGTGTCTCGCTCATCTATCACACCTGATTCAACTCATCAGCTCATTATTGGAGACTGCAAGACCTGAAGAGGGTGTGTCAGATAGAGGGAGACATACAAAATGTGCAGAGCTAGGGGTACTTCACGGAGAGGTTTGAGAACCACTGCAATAGAGGATCCGGATTATCACCCCGTCCGAGAAGAGGTAGCTGGTGACAGTTCTTTTGAGTCCCTGGATGAAGATGATGCTCCCTCAACAAGCACATCCTCTACAATGCTTCCATGTAAGAAAAGAAGAAAAGGAAAACACACTCTAAAAACAATCATTGAAGGAGCCAGAGGATACCTACACTACACAGCATTGCTGGTTTACAAAGAAATGTTAATGTATCAAAAAAAAGAACAGAAAAAAATTCCTGTTGCTCTACCACACTTGACGGCGTGTTTCTTGAATCATAAAAGCCTAAAATTCCATTATATTACTATCTTTTGCTCTTTTTATTCGTTTTTGAATGCTGAAAGATTGTAATGTCTTTGGTTTTGTTACTTTTAGTTATGTGTGTTATTTATTTTTGTTTATTGTTAAAAAACAAGAAAACATAATTTCTTGTGTTAAAATGAAAACCTGAAATATTTCATGGCATACTTAAAGTAGATTCAATATGCAAAACTATTTTATTTTGATTATGTTTTAAAATAAATTAGTATATTTTCTGATTTTCATAGTATGTGAATGAATTCCGGTATTTTTACCATAAAGTGACATCAACCATTTGGTAGAGGCCGATATTTGACCACTAAGGTCCAATGGACCTTAATTGCATCAGCATAGCTATGATAGGCAATTTGGTTCTTTCTCATTATTTGACTTATTAGGAGCATATACAGGCTAAACAAGAGCGGTGCAAGAATTGAGCCTTGTGGGACTCCGCATGTCATGGATGTCCACTTAGACTCATGCTCTCCTATACTCACATAATAACCTCTCCCTTCTAAGTATGACCTGTAGGGTTCCAGCACCTTCTGTGAATATCTGTGAGTCTCTTTGCACAACTGTAATTAATCTATCCAGCAAGTATATCACCAAAATTAACATTAATATTTAATCATGTATAGGGACCCCCAAGAACTTTCTCATGGCACATTGTTCACATTTACAAAAAAAAAATATATCAATAATAAATAAAAAATAAGAAGAAACCAGTTTAAATTGTCTCTGGTTTTCTTTTCAGAGAAATATGTGTGTAGACAAGTAATGTTATATTATCAATAATAATGAGAGAAAGACACCATAATGATCTTTAAGTTTAAAAAAATTGTCACGGGGTGAATGAGACCACAGACACAGAACTGGCAAAAAGTACTCCAGGAGGGTGCTTTATTCACAAGTGGTGCTATACGTGTGCAGGTGAAGTGTCTGTGCATAGGATCACAAGGTGCTCGTGGGGTGGGTCACTCGGTGCTCGTGCAGGGCTGGTGGTCACTCGTCCAGAGGGTCGTCAGTCTCTGCACAGGAGGAGAAGAAACAAAACAGACATTAGTTTCCGCCTGGAGCTCCTCTTCCACCTTTCCTCGTGTGCGTCTTCTCTCCTGGCATTAAAGCCTGTGGGAACATGCTCCAGGTGCGCCAGTCATCCCGCACAGGTGGCAGAAGTTTGTGATTTGTGTAGGAGCAGCGTTTCCAGGGCGACGCTGGGCGTACTGCTGCACACAGGGGAGACAGGCCCACCCGGGCGAGGATCTCGGCCTTGAGCTCAGGAGGGAGTAATAGGCGCTGGGCTTCCCCTGTGAGAAAGGGGGCGATGATCCGGGCCCATTCCTCTTTCACCCTGCCCTCTCGGTTCGCGATGACTTCAAAGGTATGGAGGTAGGCTTCGACATCATCCTGCTCAGACAGTCGGACGAGATGCTGGTGGGCTTTGTTGGCCACCTCCGGGAGGGGCACGCGGCCCGCCACGCTGGCCTGTAAGTGTTCGACAACCCGGTCAGCATGGCTTTAAGGCCTGTGGGAACGAGCTCCAGGTGCCAGTCATCCCGCACAGGTGGCGGTAGTTTGTGATTTGTGTAGGAGCGGCGTTTCCAGGGCGATGCTGACCTGGAACCGGGATACTCGCCACAATATATATATTTATTAAAAATCTTCTTCATCATCAGCAAAATACTGCAGAGAGGGGGGAAAAAGAACATTACCAAAACCGTGGCAGCTACACTTGAGTTTAAAATGCTACATCTAATACTCCCATTACATCTTCTGGATCCTCCTGAGGAGGTAAAATGGGAAGAGGTGGAGGAGGAGGTGGAGGTGGATGAGAGGGGGAAAAGAGGAGGAAGATTGGGGCCCTGCTGGACCCACTCATCAGCGGTGGACGTGTGCTCACTGTCCTGCAGAACAACACAACTCAACAGATTGTCAAACTGCACATCATATAATAGTCGCAGTGTAAAGGCATATGCACAAAGCTCAACTTACTGTACGGCTTATGAGTTCAGTGGTCGCTGTCTAGAAATAAAGGCAGTTTTAAAAAATATTAAAGTATTTTATTAGCCTTTTATTTAATGCAGCATTTTTTTTTTACTTAAATCACTGAACAGGGCTGTCCACGCCACTGTCCGTCAAATGCATCTCTGTGGATGTAATCATTTTAAAAATAGAGTTCTTATTTACGACTAAGTACAGGTGTGAACATTTGAAAGCAAATAATGACCTAATGAATGCAAGTGGGAAAAAAATTATTCACTGGGGTGTAAAGTTTGTTTATTGTTGAATCATGTTAACATGTAAATGAAGAACTGCAGTAATGGATATCTGTTTGGCCTGTAACTTCTCTTTCTTTTATTTTTAGATTAGCGACAAATGAGGGTTCATCACTAAGATCAAATAAAGCAATTTATGAACTTCAACAAACAGTCTTTCTTTTTTTGTTGTTGTTGTTGTGTTTTATTCCCCCAATGTTAAATGGATTCAAGTGAAAACTAATTATAGTCTATACATACCAAAGAAACTAATAAACAAAATCAAGACCTCCTTGATTTTACACCAAAGAAATAGTCTATTAGTTCTTATCTGAGAAAGGATGATCCATTCTGTGGCAAAAAATGAGTTACTCTTTCCGAAGAAAACATTGAGTGCATTGAAATATGTTGATCTGCTTTAGCGTGGACAACTCCGACTAGCCTATGAATGAGCCTCCACAAAGGAATCAAACACAAAGGCACATCACTCCAAACAGTATTCGAATGCACACCGTTACAATTAGTTATGTATAAAAAACACAGCTTTGGAAGTGAAATGATATGCAAAGGAAAAAAGTCCTTCTGAAAAATAGAAAATGCCAAAAACCAAACATAAACATTCCAGTATAAAAAACACAGCTTTGGAAGTGAAATGATATGCAAAGGAAAAAAGTCCTTCTGAAAAATAGAAAATGCCAAAAAACAAACATAAACATTCCACCCACATTCTAAATAAAGAATTTAGACAATATTCACATATACTCACATGTCGAGCTTAACCCTCTGGAGTCTGAGGGTGTTTTGGGCCCTGGAGAAGTTTTGACATGTCCTGACATTTGTGCTTTCTCTTTGTTGAGTATTTGCTGAGTTACAGTTCATTTTAATAACGCGTCTCTAAATAAAGATCACGCAGACCACGGCGGCAGACAGCACACCCTGTTTGTTTTCTTTATTTTATAAATGCACAAAGTTCTGTTGTTATTATGTGTGTATACAAATAAAAGTAGACCCTTTACAGATTCGATTGATGTATTGCTCTTATCTGTAAGATCAAAACTGAAAGTGTAATTTAAGTTATTTTCGGTGTGATCAGGAGAAGATGCCTCAAAACGCGTATCCGCGTTAATCGACCTCAGAGGGTTAAAACCAAAGGTTTCTCAACTAGGACTTTGTCAATCAGAAGTTCAAGGTAGCACAAAGAAACATGTGTTCCCTCTACCCAAACTGAACTACTTCTTCAGGCAACTACTCATCTGATATACAATCTAGGTGTGTTCACCTATCGCCCTCTAGTGCCTCATAGTGTTACCCCACATAGAAGTTTTTATTCCATTACTCCAAGTATATGGAAAATGGTGACAGAAATTTCACTCTGTTACAGGCCTACAGACCCTCTGATGTACCAACACTACAAGAGATTCTTGGAAACTTTACAACTGGTTTAATTCAACATCCTATACACTCCTCTCCAGCAGACAGCAAAGGTCTAAAAGTAAACATTTTTTTAAATAGGTTTTTCTCTCTCTCTCTCTCTCTCTCTCTCTCTCTCTC